TTTCAGATGTGGAATGGATGAGCCGTGTGTCAATGCGCGCCGCTATGCATGATTTGTATCACAGCAGCATAGAATACAAATCGCTGAAGAGTTTCGCTGTCATATGTGATATGTTACACATGATTCCGACTCATGAAATGTGAAGCAGTGTTTCCATGCCCGGTGTCACTAAGTTAATTAAGCCATAAGCATAGACGATCTTTTGTATCTCGCTCAATAACCATATTGTCTCCTCAGCCACATATTGAGCGCCTCTACGAGAAGAGACGCTCAATTAAACGTGTTGAAGCGAATATGTAACTTCATTTGTACTTTGCACTTATTGTTAGACCAGACGCGTGCGAATTTGATCAGTAGCACTAATTTTCTCTAAATAGTTCTGAATAGCTCAGAATTTCTATTCGAAGAAGCCGCTCCTGTGGGAGAAATGTCATTGGACTCCCTTTTTACCACGATGAAAGTAATGCATTGAATCTGCGTCGGTGTTTCCCGTATTTGTACTGTTATGTTTGTAACACACAAATGTATCGAAGTTTGTGTGATAAATGCTACTAAAGCTTGAGAAACCCTGTTTAGATAAAAAGATATGTGAACATGAAGCTATTGCCCGCAAATGTAACGAACCGTTACACTGTGGCTTCATTTTCTCCTACATGTCATTTGCAACATTGGTCCTTTTCCAGGCGTACTTTGACTTTGGAAATGGGAGTATAGCATGGTCCATAGTGACGCACTGGTTCAAACTTCAATCACTGTGCTTTTCAGCGACAGGCCACTGCCGTCCGCTGGGCCAATCACGAACTTTTTTATTCGCACCGGTAGAGGTGCCACGGCGGTCGTCATAACGACGGCGGTCGTAACTGCAGGGGAGGAGCGTACTGCTGTTACAAAGCGCTGACGGCGCAATTTTGACTCGAAATGATTAAAACTGATGTCCTTGTAATACCTTGACGGTGCTGCAGTGGCACCACGCAGAGCTTTTATTAGACGTAACTGGTCCTATACGTTTCACGAGAGAATGTTTTTTTAAAAAATATGCGCCAAAGGTGGAACACTTCTTTTAACCTCCTTCCTGAAGGAATTGGAGATGTTTTCAGGATAAATCCGGGCCCATCCCCTCTTCCAAATATGGATATAACTCCCTTCCGAGCACTTTTTTACCAAATTTCACCTCTGGCCTTAAGCACAAATTTAGGTTGGCCGCATGCTTGGTAAGAATAGATGTAAAACTCTTTGAAAGGAAGCATTTTTCTTATCATGTTGAGCAGAGTCCAATGAACTAATTCCATGCAAATAGCTGCAACCAAAATATCCACAAAGATTAGAGCTGACATTTTGTGAGTAGCACGAGGATTACACATTCCTTTCAGCCATCGAGCTTCTAAAATGTTGCACTTGGGGAGCTTGGAAACGTTTCAGTACAACCCGCGTTGCGTCACCTAAGTTCCGAAAACGTGGCCTCTTCAAACTCCGTGTTGTCTTCGGCGACACCCTTTGAGCGGCTATATCTGCCCCTAGCGTTCGACTTCCAGCCAAGCTGCTTATTGTTCCGATATGTTACAGGTGCATTGGAGCCGACGGGTGCTGCCACATGAGCATCTGGCCGGCGCACCTCGTGGCTTGGAAATTAACGTGAACATGGTGTGTGTTTCGGTATGCATGTGTTTGTAACAGTCGAGCTGGCCCAAGTTGATGGTCAATGGATGAGGTTCAGACCTACTTACTCATGGTGATTATGCCATTGTTCTGGGTGTCGTGTGCGTTAGTTCCCCAGCACGAGTAGCAGCCAGTCACACAGATAATGTTGAGAACGATTTATGCTTGAATGTTACTGGAACGATAGCCTTCTACATACGTTCTTGAAATATGTCATCATGCTGAAAGTTGGTGTCACTAGCTGTGATAATATGCTTCCAACCCATGAAAGACGACAGCTGGATTAGGCCAATCAGAAATGGTCGTTGATGTTATTAGGAAAAATTCACCGTTTCATTCTTGTCCCGCGATTTCTGTGCTCGTTAGCGTCTGGCAGCGCGGTGACGCCGCCGCAGCCGCTGTCGGCAGTTAGCTGAACCCGAGCGGTCGGTCCCCAGCGCCAACCCAGCATCCGCCGAGTCCCGTCGCCGGAGCAGCGGCCGGAGTCTGCGGTCTGACGTCTGCCAACTGGGCCACAGTTCCGCCCGACTTTTCACCTCACCTTCCTCCATAGCTCCGAAATGGTCCGAGCAAACCTAGGAGCTTTTACCGAATCTAATCAAATCCAACCCAAGCTTCAGGTCATTTAACATAGCAGCAACATTTAACACTTGGTCTAGTGACAGCAAGAAAGGTCGGTAAATCAACCAGAGTGAGTCATAAATCAAGTCCATGCTATTAAGTTTTGCCTCTGCAAGTCGACTGCCGCCTCGAGCCGCTTGCTGTACGTGGCTAGCGTAATGGTTTTAAATCATCCGGGTGTTGCCCGCAGAGGAATCGTTCCAGTCACGTACGACAAGAGCCGATGGGTTCCATACTTTTGTATTAATCAAAATTATTGTCGCTGACAGGAACACGACAAATGTACATCTGACAGGCAGGAGCAAATGCAGTCGTAATGTGTGCCCAAGTGAAATTAACCCAGTAATACCGATAGAGACCACCGTGTTGAAGTTCAAGTCGGGTATACCAGCCGGCTATGAGTACAAAGCCCCAGCTCACGGACAGACGCCTCTCCCGCTCGTCAGCTCACAGACACCGTCCTCACCGTCACACGGGCGTGCGGCCTGCCCGGCAGGGCTGCTGGTGCCCTGTGGGAGCCAAAGCTCCGGCATCGGTGCCACCGGGCTGACATCTGGTCAATTAACACATCCAATGGGTCAGGACGTCTGGACAGCACGCACCGGAAACCACGCCCAGGTCATGTGTCAGTGATCATCGTACTCCTCTCCAAAACAAGGTCATATTTCCACGCGCATATCCTGTCCAGATTTCTGCCAGATTTACAAGAACACAACAACGTACTAAAGCGCCCTGTTCAGGTCACAACCGCGCCAGAACTGGCCATCACGTTCACTCGCTCGCGGCTTGTCGGCCCCGCCGGCTGTGCGCTGGGTCTGCGGACGACGAGTGCTCGAGGGCGCTCGGGCGGACCACGAGCACAGACAAAAAAACATCCGAACGAGACCTGGTCTGCTGAGGGGACGCGGCACAGCGTCAGGGCCGAGACGTTTTGTGAGTACAAATAACTAGTCTGCCCAGGACAAACAGCATGAATGAATAGGGTCACAGCGCAAAAGTGCAAGTGCGCCTTTCTTGTCAAAGGTGCAATTTGCCTTTATTTTGATTTGAGTAGAAACTGAGAGTGACAAAATTGACTAGACAAGTTTGGCATTTGAGCGACCTGTTTAGCGAGTTTGCCGAGCAAACCGGCCCCGTAATCTGCTTGATGCTGAAACACTAAGCAGCCAGCCGTGCCTTCCAGCGTTTGCTTGGAACGTGAAGAAGTCCGCCGCCAGCGCCCGAGTCGCCACAGCACCCGCCCATCGGCCGTATCCAGCTCAGCCATGCATTCCTCAGCAACAGCAAATAAAGGGCTTTATCACAGTGCGCTGGAACTGGATGACACGGTGCGCTGGAACTGGATGGCACACGGTTCAAAATGGCCTTATCTGAAAGATCTTCTTTACAACCGACCCGGACAAAAGCCGGAGCACCTTTGGTCAGCTCGAGCAAACTTTATCCCTCATCCCATGCTGAACAACCGGAGCGAAGACCCAAACGACGCCTGCTCGCAACATTGAGCACCCCATCCAGTCCCGTCAGCCACGTGTCAGAAGGCATCGATCAATACAATACTGGTCTCCCGCAAAATATCATCGAAATAAACATAGTACGGTCAAAATGCTCATGATCTTCATCATCACCAGATATCTAACCTCTCAATCTGACACCACTTAATACTTACGTGGAGGACTCAACAGTGACATTAGCATCTTGCTACCAGTCAAGACGCAAAACTATGCCTAGGTCATGTACCAATAACCCCTTAAGTTCTTAGACAGACTGGGCCGGACACGTAGCTCCGAACTATCGTCCAATTGACGTATCGAAATGTCGGCTGAGGACTTAATCGCGACGATGACCTCCTCGCAGCAAACGCGAACCAAATTGCCTTCTTTTGGCGCATATGCATGCATAACTCTACAGCTAACCTAAGTTGCAGTCGCTTAATTAAATCACAAGCAATTTATCGTAGTCATACCCAGCGAAACAAGACCGACAAGTTAAAAGTGCGATGCGTCGAGACGTCAGGGTTGTGGGCGTAAGGGCTCCGGAATTTTACAGCGATTTTCTGCATTGCGCTAATGCGAAGATTCCACCTAACAATGCTGTTTCAGTTACGTCGGCAGCATGCGCACGCCCCCTGGCGAACTCTCGTCTTGTGGTCGGCGCGCAGCTGAGGCTGAGGATGGCTGAGGAGGCTGAGAAGTTGAGGAGGGCGCCGCTGTTGGCAGATAGCCTGCATCATCATTCTCCAACATAATCAGCCCCAAGGCAATCAAGATTAAGGCCGCCCAGATGTGTCGAAAATACTGCATTTTGCGGATGTTTTCCGCCGCTAGGCTGTCAGTGTTCGCCAGGGGGCGGTGCACATCCGCCGGTGACCGATCCCGTCTCTCTCCCAGACGAGGTCAGCCCGAATCAGTCGAAACCACACACCGCATTTTGTGCCGGTAACGGAGCCTCACCGATGACGTGTCCCATATCGCCCCTGCACCCAACCGACAAGGCGTCCCTGCCCCCTCAGCGGCACTTGAGCGGCACATCAGCTCACCACCACGCCCGACAGAGAGCTTCTCACACGGCGGCCATTGCACACGACGGCGCCGCTCCCCGGAGTACACCTCGCAAGGCCGTCCGGAGGTGCTGCTCCGCATACCGCGAGGCCCGCCACCGTAAGCATCACTTCAAACTACGAGCAGACCAATCACCGGGAGCGTCGCCTCTCACCGCGAGGCGCGTCAGACGGAGCGGCGCGAGCGAGTTGAGCTCTTGCGGCCGGCCGAGCGGCCGCTGCGTGCCGGCTCCGCCACCGCGAAGCTGGTCTCCCGCACCTGGCCGCTGCCGCCACCATTGAGCACCTGATGCCGCAACAGGCCCGTGATCTGGCCGCGGTACACGCGCTCTGCTGCCGCCTCCGGGCCGCCGCCGCCACCAGCGTTGGCGGCGTCGGCCGGCTCGGCGCCGGCGAAGATGCTGACGCTGAACTGGTCGGCGGCGGCGACGGCGGCTGCGGCCGGCTCGGCGCGGCCCGCGCGGCGTGCTGCCCTCGCGCGCGCGGTACACAATCTCGATGTTGCGGCAGATGACGTCGTACGCGTCGGCCTTGCCCTGCTCGCAGAGCCGGGGCAGCAGCGGGAAGCCGCTCTCGCGCGGCTCGCCCGGCGAGTCGGGCGCCTCGGCCAGCGGGTCCGACCCGGCCGCCACGCGCCCTGACGCCAGCAGCGAGGCGAGCACGCGCCGACTGCGGATCTCGACGTAGCCGTTGAGCGTGACCTCGTGTCGGCCCGAGAGCTGACGGCGCACCGAGTCGGCGCGCACGCTGCTCGACATGGTGTTGGGCGTCGAGTCACCGCCGCGACGCCGTGACGTCTGCACCAGGATGCCGTTGATCTCGATGGCCGGGTGCACCTTGGAGGAGCGGCGCGCCAGGCACTTAAACCAGGCGAGCGCGCCGGCGCGGAAGTGCTCGTTGAGCCAGCAGTAGATGAACGGGTTGTAGCACACGTTAGACATTGCCAGCCAGTGGCAGAAGAAGAACAGGGTCGAGTTGTGGCGCCGCGGGCTCGTGTCCACGCTGAAGTCGACGATCAGATGATACAGGTTGAGCGGCATCCAGCAGATGGCGAACAGCACCACCACCACCATCAGCATCTTGATGGTCTTGCGCTTGGCGCGCGCCTGGTACACCATCTGCTCCTCGGTGGCGGCGCCAAGCACGGCGCGGCTCCACACCTTGCGCGTGATGATGCTGTACGCCACGCCGGTGATAGTGAGCGGCACGTAGTACTGCGTCAGGCTCGTCACCAGCGTCAGCCACTTGCGGAACTGGCGCGACGGGCTGGGATAACGCGTCTGGCAGCGCGTCAGCGCGCGGAACGTGAAGACAGTCACCAGCTCGTTGTAGACGGCGTGCGGCAGCGAGATGATGGCCGCCAACAGCCAGATGACGGCGATGATGGCAGCGCCGTGCAGCGGCCCGAGGCGTGGCTTCAGCGGCTTCACGATCACCTGGTAGCGGTCGAGTGCGATGGCAGCCATGGTGAAGGCGCTGACGTAGACGGCGCACACCTGCACGTACGGCACCACACTGCACATGAAGCCACCGAACGGCCAGTCGTCTAGCAGGATACGGCTGATGTTAAAGGGGATGTTGAGACACGTCATCAGCACGTCCGACACGGCCAGGTTGGCGATGAACGTGTTGGTGACGGTGTGCAGCCGCTTGTTGCGCACGACCACCTGGCACACGAGCAGGTTGCCGAAGAGGGAGACCACGATGATGACCGAATAGGCGAGGATGACGACGCTGGTGCGGCTCGCCTCGCCGCGGCTGTCGATCAGGTTGGAGAAGTCCAGCTCGCCGCCGTCGCTGGCGTTCCCCGCCGACACGTTGGAGAACATGCGCATCACCTTCTCGAGCGCATCGCGCGAGATGGGCGTGGCGTTGACGAGCCTGCGCGGCGGCTGCGGTCCGGTCGCCTTCAGCAGGTCGCGGATCCGGTTGTAGACGTCGCCGTCTTCGGCCACGGCCGCCGACGCCGACCCGGCCAGGCCGAGCAGCGTCAGCGCCAGCGCCAGCGCCGGCCGCGTCATGGTCTCCCGGAGCCGGCGCCGCGTCAGGGCGTGGGCCGGACGTCGGCGGCCCGTCCGGTCCGCGTCGGCTGGGGCGGCGCGCGCTGTCCGGGCCGTCGGCACGTCGTTAGCGACGCGTCGGCGGCGGTGGCGTCAGTTCCGGTTCCGGCGCGGCCGGTCCTGGAACAGCGGCGCTGGGTCAGTGGACGGTCACGCCACCTGAACGCGACGCCCACGGACGTTCAGGCGGCGGCGGCGGCGGCGGCGGCCGGCCGGCCGGCGATGCGGTGACCTTTCGGGGTCGGAGAGCGGAGGCAGAAGGCGGGTCACCGGCAGGCAATCTCCGTCCGGGCCGTAAAGGATGGCGTTAAGCGCCAGAGTGAGACGGAGTCAATGGAAGGGGCCGCGAGCTGGAAAGACCGCGGCAGAAACTTTTAACCAGCGTCCCGACATCGCGGAGCGGAGCGAAGGCCGTTCAGGAGGCCAGACCGGGCAGACGACCCAATCAGGCTCCAGTGCCAGCGGGAGGTTCGGCCGGCGGTGGAGCCACTGCCCTTCTGGCGAAGCCGAACGGCTGCTGTGTTGATGCTCAGAGCAGGAGACCACATCGCCAGGCGGCTGTCGTTGGCTTCGGACCGCGATGTGGCCGGTGGACTGGCGCCGATCGGCCCCCCGCTGGGTCGCCTTCCCAACGCGGCGATGCGCCCAGGGGCTGATACGTTTACGACGCGCCATGCCCAGAGTATACGCTCTACTGCGCTGGAAGACCGTGGCTGGGCCGAGAAAAGAACCGGTTGCGGCACCAGTGGCTGAGTTATATCGTCGGCAGACTTCAACAGCCCAAATTGATGTCACGAGGCCGCCATCCAGGCTTTTGTGGCCACCGCCCCACGTTCCATAATTGCCGCGGACATGATTGGTGATCCTTAGATTAAGTCGCAGTGGTTCCATCTGTTGCCATCGTCCGCGTAAACCTTGACCGCAAAGACAGTCTGCCGCCCAAGCTGGTGTGTGATGTGGTGTGGTGTGACACATAATCATAAGCGTCTCAGTTGAATTCGACGGGGCAGGATATTCGGCTCTTTGACTCTTTGATCGCGTTTTCTTTCTGCAGCCGCTCTGGATTGCTGAGCCGGAATGCTACTCCATTATCCCCGTATTATTACCGTTATTGCTCGGTGATATAGTTGACTGCACAGAACTGAAATGTACACCCCTACACAATGACCTATGTCGTGAGCAAAATGACGTGCAATTCTGTGTCTGAGAGTTGTTTGCCTCTATACATCTGTTTCGGTATCTGTAAAAGTGGTCAAGCGCAAATGACCAGACAAGCATGTTTAGGCTAAGTTTAGAGAAAGAATAACCCTCTGTTAAGTTCTTCTATTTAACTTTTCCTTAGATGCATGTTGAAATAAAGCAGGTGCAATTCACCACATAATCTCAGCGATTTTTCACGTTAATACTTCTAATCCTTTCCGAAGTTCTTCAAAGGCCGGCGCCACACACACATGCTAATGCGCAAAAGTGGTCACGAGAGCATCATGGCACAGTCTTCATATCACTGACACACTCAGAGAACAGGGCATATGTGATACATCTGCATAAAACATCTGGAGGGCGCACGCAAATCGCCAGCACTATCGTTGCATTTCAAGTTGATTTTTTTCCACAAGCAGCGGGAAATCATATGATACTCATACAGTACAATCCGTTCACGGACGGTGCATACGTGCACGTATGTTTTACCGGTGGTATTACTGAACTAATTACCGCTGACGCCTCCTGAATAGCAAATAATAGGCATTCAGTGGCTAGCACACGCTTACATTTTGTGTGGGAGGCGTCATCACTTGCGAGGGTGAGATACCGCTTGTGGTTGAACAGTGAGAAGATGTATGTATTTGGTACTCGTAGTTTGTTGATGGAGCGATCTAAAACTTCCGGCCAATGAATCGATAGACATAGTTGAGGACCAGGTCAGGTTTAGGTTTGCAGTCACAATAACACGAACTGATGGGTTTATACCGCACACCGGCTATTGAGTGAAGGTTAACAAAACTTGCCAAGAGCGCGATATGAACTCGGAAACACCACTTGTCACCAAACCCCATACCACTTGTTACCGAACGTTCTAAGGGAAGCTTTTCAATAATGCATCATAAATTATGACATAAATTTGTCATAAATTCGTCATAAATTATAGCAAACACGCACAGCGTATGCGGCATTCACACCAAGCAGAGTAGCGTAAAGACCTTGTCTAAGCCGCTTGATATGTGGCCAAAGTGAGCCCAAATATGCCGTGATAATTATAACGTGGTCTAGACGGCTTGCTTTGCAGGCATTCGGAAATATGTCGTGGGAGTCAAAAAACATATGCTCAATGTGAGAAAAATCAAGCCAGGAATTTTTGTGGTTGGCTTAATCCCGTTAACGGAACAGAAGGGATATCAGTGGATTAGCGGAACTACTTATCATGGCATGTGCACAGCTCAAGCAAGTGGTCCGGCATCAATCAAAACGTAACGCCAGCAATTATTCGGATACAATGTTTTGTCTAACAACCGGTTGAAGCTTTATACAGCGCCACTTAACTGTTGCCGACAGCTTACCAGTGCGCCGATGATAGCGACCAAACGACTTTACAAAGCAATCTCCATAAGTCAGCTGACCGGCAGCCAATCACAGAATCAAGGCCCTGAAGAATTCACAGCAATGCGCTGCGACGAGGCTTTGGCGCTGCTGTCGTCATTTAAAATTCATACGATGCGCCAAAGCCTTAGTATATAGTGATTCCGCTGTATTGTGATAAAACAGCGGACATATTTGCATCAAACGGGATGTTGTGAGCTCTACCGCGGTTTATTACAACGGCAACTGGGTCGCAAAATATATTGAGCAAGCGCTTTGATTGATGATTGATGCAACTACAACAGACCTTGAGAAAAAACTGCCGTGATAGTAGTTGTGCATGCCACGCGACAGGGAAAATGAAAACACCGTTCTTTCATGCTGAACAGCTGAACTATTGAGGATGAATTCAAAAAGGCGTTGCATTTTCAATAAAATATGCATAATCTTGATGCGTGCAAGTCCAAATATACTTGCACTAAACAAGCGAAATGGCGAAATGGTGGAAACACGAAAAACTCTCCCTTTAAGGCGAATGGATGACTGCCGTGCTTGCGGGAACATACGAAGTCCGCTGGTGGCACCCGATTTTTTTGGCACTGTCCTCTCCGATCAACACGTCAGGCGTTTTTCAAGAACTACAGAAAAGTCCCTCCAGGCTCAGCAGTCTTTGGAAACGGTGCTTTTCTGGTAATTCCAAAACATGTTCAACACAGCTGTTTCTGTCACCCTAATAGTTACTGCTGTATGATCAGGACTGAGCCCTGCCAATTTCAACAAAATCAGACAACCCACAAAACCGATGCGTCTTGGCGTGGTTGGCACCGTGAAAGACTGAGAGAGATTGAGTGAAATATGAGTTGACGTCATGTTAGACACCACCCCTTGCCCTAGGCGTTCCATCGCAGACTGGCAGCGGGAAGTGAGCTGGTTTGGCTCAATGTCACAATGACCCCGGCTTTGGCAGGAGGCGGAGCCAAAACCGCGCAGTTACCCCGAATGGCGTCACTCAGGGAAGGTACGCACGTCCCGTCGGGCACCGCGAAACGACAGTGATACCCTGCTGCTCGACGCAGACTTGCATCACAAACCCAGATCGCTCGCCTGCGTCGCAGTCGTTTTTCGCACACCTCGGGCGTGCATCGAGGCTGACTGAGACACTCCAATTTCGCATCCCGCTGCGTTCTCCGCTGTCCTGTGATATGACGGCTATGAGACCCCATCTGATAACCTCCGATCCCCATGGATGGCCGTGACGTCACCATCCGTCCCCGCCAATCGAACGCTAGTGTAGGCCCTCACCAAGCCAACCGCCCCGGAATCCTCGCGCCGTAGAAATCCTCGGCAAATGTCACGGGCACAATGCCGACCGCCGCCGCCGCCTCGCGGAGGGTGGCGCCGCCGCCGCCGCCACGGCCGCCCGCCTCTGCTGGCAGCGCTCCCGGCGGCGTGGCAGGCTCCGTTTCGTCTTGCCGGCGCGTGGGCCCACGGACGGGCGCCGGTGGGCCCCGCTCGGACGCGCTGCCAGTCGGAGGCCATCAATATTTGTGTAACAAATTCGTCCGTCAGGGCGCGGTCGCCTCTGGCGCGGCTGAATCGACGCCGGGGGACGCGAGCGACGCGGCCCGACCGCGCTCTACGCAAATTGTGACGTTTATGCGCGTCGCTTGGCAGGCGCGGGCCGCGGCTGTCGGCGCACGCGGCATGTTGGGAAGCCAGCTCAATTAGAGCGCGCGCGGGCAATGCGCGGACTGCGGCGGCGGCACGCTCGAGGGTGCGCTGGGGACGATCGGGACTGACACCGAGGAGCGAGCGACGATCGAGGCCACCAGCGGAGCCGCCGGTCTGGCAGCGGTGATGTGGGACTGGACTCCGAGGCCACTCCTCACGCTACGTCCGTCCGTTGCCGCAGCACACAATGGCAGGCTTCGGACGGCCAGGGTAGCGGTCGTGCCCAGCGTCGGCGCCACGGCCGGTGTCGAACGGTCGAACGGTCGTACCCAGCGTCGGCGCCAGCTCCGTTGACCACTCGTGTCCCTGGTCAGCAGAATATTGTGCGGTCTGAGCGGTGACCACGGCCTGTCACCGTCGCGGACTTCAGCGCGGCCATGCCACCCACACTCACCACTTCATGCTGCGCCTCTGCAGCGTCTCGTCCAGGTCGCGGCCGTCAGTCATAAGTCGGCCCAACAGCCATGCGTTTGGGCACCCTGCGTGGTTTTTTGGCCAATTCGTCCCGGGCCTGGATAACCCAGACGTCCGAGGCATCGCCCCACCCCTTCTTGCCTCCTTAACCCCACAAGTCCGAAAT